ACTAATGCACTTCACACACCCTTTGTGGCTTTGCGTGGGACCACCACCCAACTTCTCTTAAGCCTGTATATCGACTTACTTGATGGCGAGTGACTCATCTTTTAACCATGTCTTTTGGCGAGGCTCTCTTTCTGCGTTCTTTTGGAAGTGTTCCCAGAACTGTAGACTGGCGCTTCCATTCCACTTCTCCCTGGCGGCATCTTCGAATCTCGCCCGTATGCGGCTCTCGTTTAACGCTATCGTTCAAGACAGAGAAGATTGGCGGTGGTGGGGCTTTCGCCGCTGGTGATGTCCGCCAAATGTTGCAGGAATTTGATCCGACCATCTCGCTTTCAGAAGCCATAACACCGCCCAGCTCCTGGTACACTGATCCTTCATTTCTTGCCCTCGAGTTTGAGCGCGTATTCTTCCGAGGATGGCAAGTCGCAGGTTAGCAAAAAATGAACATGTTCCTTAATCCATTGCTTTTTCTATTGTAAAAAATGGAAATAGAGAACCAGAAAATGGTTTATGGTCTGTTTATTAGCTTAACACCAGCATCTCCCTAAAATTGTTTAGGGCAATTTAATAAGTTTTGTTAATCCGTTTATAGTAAACTTTGGAGGTGTTATAGCTTTAAAAAAATGTTTGGTATTGTACACCCAAAAATGACCTGCATGAATCTTGAGACAATCTGACAGTCCGGAACAAAATAGAGGAATTAAAGAATATTTCTCTAACAAAAAATCACAAGTACACATAAAGCTAACTAGTTGAAGAACCGCCACCGCCAACTGCCCTAAGGGCTGCGACCCACTGAAGGGTCACCTAGGACGGCTGAAAACAAACATTCATCTCAACGACTGATCAAAGGTCTAGCATTCACACTAATCTCATAAGTATCAACGCGAAGTTTTTTGAACACTTCCCTCCAAAGATCACCAAGAAACAAGCAAATCGATCAGATACTAGGGCCGACCAGCTACCACATCCTAAGCTGATCGAATTCCTAGAGCAAAAACCGACTAATATCTAGACAAAGTAGCAGGCCGACACTAGCGAGGTCGACCGACCAAGGACCTGCTAGTTGACGGGTCTTAAAAGATGCCAAAGCTAGTTACGAATATGAAAAAAATGCAATAAAAGACAATAATGTCCTGTAACCTATATTAGAGCAGTGGCATTTATATAATTTTTCACTTTGTAATCCTCTCTTTTCTATAAATAGTGGTTCATAACATGTAAAAAGGGTTTTTTAGCTTATCTCTCTAAATCCATAGCTTGTAAGAAGATCTCTCTCCCCTTCTTTATTGTAATTTTTCAGTTGTAATATATAAAATGAGCTATAAAACCCGAGAATGCCCCACTTTGCCTCTGCGGGATAAGTCTGTGTGCTTTTGTATTTCTTTTTCTTTTTCTCTCCATTTCTTCCTTGAGTCCCTACTGCTTCAATCATTGGGCATGCTTCATATGACAAATTTGAATTCAACATTCTAAAAGGTAAGATGAGCGTGGAATATGCCCCACTTTGCACTTTTTATATGTATAGCATAATATATAGTAAGTCCTGCAATTCTCAAGCACTGATCTCTATCTATAAATAAGGAGTTGTGGGGAGGGGTATAAAAAAAAGGGAAAAATGACTGTTATAATCCAACACAAAATTTTTCTACCATTGAGCTTTTGGGTGGATTTCACTCTTTATATTTCTTTTATGCTCTTTTTTTCCCCTCTTTTCTTCTGTGCTAAATAGGGTTTTGGAATAAGTTTTAGATGGTTAAATTAAGATTCAAAACTAATGAATACACTTAAGGCTTTTGATACTCAACCTATACAAGCACATGGAGAATTGTCCCTCGTACTTAACTAAAACATCTTTAACCATGCAAAGTAGAGTTCATCAACTGAACGAGAGTTGATATAGTACAATTAACAAGGTCTCTCACCATATTAATTTTAAAGGTTGATTATCAGGACAATTAATTTTATTTAATTTTATATTTGTTTTAGTAATATGGCGGCCCACCAAATATTATTTGGAGGGAATATTATAAGTATTAACAATTTTAAACATGTAAATTATCTCAAAATAAAAATTCAAAATTAACAATAAAATATTTATTTGAGTCCTTCAAAATTTGATTGTTGTCAGTTGTTTTGAGACATTAAAAAATCTTGAAGGGTGTTGAAATTATAGTCAATGAATTTGATTTTTAAGGTGGGATTTTTGTATATTTCCTTATTAGATTTTCTTATTTTTTATAAGAATTTTTTTTTTTTTTTTTTTAAATATGATTAGAACTAGGCCTGCCATGTTTCCTTATAACATAATATATTGAAAACTAATCTTCATATCTCGTAAAAAGCTTGAGAATATAAGATGGTGCTGCCCTTTTTTAGATTGATTTTCGAATCAACCATAATTATTTTTTATAAACCTTAAAATTTGTATTTTTCTCTTATTTATGTTTCTCCTAAATCCCCACCAAGTTTCCAAATTTTTAAACCATTACAACCATCATAACAACTGAACCTTCCTAAACTATTAATTTTTTTCTTAGCCTTCCACTAACCTTAAATCTTCTACCACTATGCCTAACAACTCTTGAAATCTCTTATTAGTATCCCCATCATATAGTGATATCTGTGGACTATCCATTATTCCAAATTTTTAAGGAGCTTGTTGGTTTATTTCTCTTATTAGTGTTTGTACTAGAGTCACATGTTAATTCTTGATCAAACAAAAATTTGCTGTGAATAGTTTCATTCTTGCTATTCATTTAAGGACTAAAATAAACATGAAATCAAAATTAAAATTTAAAGTTTGATAATGTAAATGATTACAGTAATAAGAGATTATTCTTTTGTCATTTGGGTTTTACTCAACACAGCAAAACAGGGTTGTTAAAAATACAATTTGTCATTTACTTAATACCACTACAAATTTCTATTTCATTGGAATATTTCTAAAATCTTTTAGGGTAACATGTTTTCACTGCAATTTGCATGATAGATAAACTACCTTCATGAAATCTAGAATATAAATTTCGATGGAGTTTCTTGCCCAATTCTATTAATGTGACTAACCTTCCAATAGCCTTATATATAGAATATTTAGATGCACCTCTCTTGTTCACTTTCACAATCAATATAGAGGGAAAATTGGACTATGATCTTCTATTTGTGTATTTTTTAGCTACTCTTTTACACAAAACATATAGAAATGTTGCTATCTCACCCTTTCTAGAAAATTTTACAAATTAGTTGATGTTCTATGTTGCTTGCAAAATACACATAAGTTCAATTTTATCTTTATCGGTAGATTTTACTCTTGGAAAATGAATATTCAAAAAAATCACGAGTGCAAAATCTCCCCTGAATGTGATCCCATCATAATCCTTACTCCCTTCTATCTAATATTTTTCTGCTCAGAGTGATCCCAACATCACATAAATTTTCCTAGGATGGAATATTAAAAAAAAAATACTTGAGCTTGTTTCTCCACTTGTGTCCGCTCTTTTTGACAAAAAATTCACCAAAATTTAGTGCTATTAGATTCTTTTCCATGTACTCATGGAAGAGGGCTGTAGTTGACCTGATACAAGTTTAAAATTCTATCCCGTATGCTATTAATGAAGATATAGTATGTTATGATCTTCCTGCTAGAAAAGATGTTGATGTTCCTGTTGCTATTAGAAAGAATACTAGAAGTTGCATTAAGCAACGTTTATACCCATTGTCTCACTACATATGATTTATCATCTTTATCCTTATTATAGAATTTTAATGTGAGCTAAACGCCTCCCCTATTCCAAAGAATTTATCTACGACATTACCAGCGCAAGAGATGATGACACGGGAGCTAATCCTGCTCTCACTGAATAAGCTCGAAATTTATCACGTACGCAGGAACCGGGTGGGATTCCGTCTCAGTATGACTTTTGCGGGTTTTCCCACTCTGGTTTTCTATCACCAGCTCTTTTTTTATTATTTTATTTTATTAATAGAAGCCTAATTAAAGTTATTTTCATTTAGGGAGAATATATATTTGTTGTGTTTTCTGTTTTTGGGGTTTTTAATTATTGTTTTTGTGTTTTGGAAGTTTTGTTCTCTCTTTTCCACTCTTCAGAGTGTTGTATTTTTTTTTTCTTTTTGCAAGTGGTGTCTTTATCTTGCTCAGGAACAAGTGGTGGATCCTCCTCGTCGTCCTTATTTTTCTGCTTCACCTTTTGAACATTGTTTTCTTGTTGGACAACAGTCAAATGTCTCTAATCTTCTCTCAAACATCATCAACCTCCCATATTATTATTTCCCTTAACATTCCCAGCCACATCCCCTCTAAATTCATTCTAGTAGCTATTGAATTGTGTCATCTAGTATCAGCGCTTGACAAACCCTAAATTTCTAGAAATTGTCGTTCTTATGTCTAAACCTAAGATCCACATAACCTAATTCATTGACCAACTCAATATTCTAACTATTTCTATCGCAATTCCTAGCCTTAACGTTAAATTTTCAAAATCTAATCTTCCTTCCTCCCCTAAAAATCTATCTAGACACCTACTACCGAAACCTTAGGTCAACCTTTGATTCACAATCCTACACTCACCAAAATCATGATCATTGTTGCTTTGGGGAAACATGGAAAGAGGTCTCTTGGAGTTTTTGAAAGAAGACATGGAAAGGGAGGTCATTCAACTTTAACAATGACTTGTTGATTTTGAGACGAGACAATTTGGAGAGATCATTCATAGTCACAATGGTGATTTACCTGATCGAGAGGTGGAAGTGAAGCGATTTCACCATAAAATTTCTTGTGATGAAGAATCAATAACTAGATAATTTGGCAGGGAATATCAAAAGAGAATAATATATTTTAGAGTGAAGAATGGCTTCCCTGATTTTAATAAATGTTTAGATTCAAATGAATACATTACGTGGCTCCAAAATGTGGAATAATTTTTGGAGTTTAAAAATGTTTCCCATGACAAAAGAATTATATTGGCAACCATCAAATTCATGAAGAAGCTTTCTTATGGTGGGAGAAATTGAAGTTGTCTATGATATCGAGAAAGAAAGAGTAAGATTATCATATGGTCCAAGTTTAAAATTAAGATGCAACACAAATTCCTTAATTTTCATTACTGATATATTATGTTCATAACACTTCACAACCTATGCCAAAACAATCTTCTTGTGGAGGAGTACACAGCGGCGATGTATCTTGGAGGATTGATACCATCTATCACTAATGAGTTGTAATTACAGTTTTATTGGTCCCTACTCAATGTAAAAATCCTATCTTTGAAAGTAGAAGGCAACAACCACTACGTGATTGTCACATCTTATAGGCAAAGTTTATTCCCGTGGTTAGGTAGCAAGAGTACACTCATGTAAGCACCCGAATTGATTCCTTTCAAGAAAAAATTAGTTCATACAAGAAAAAATGT